AATATTTTCAGTCAACCTAAATGTGTATTCTGGGTGAAAATAAAATTCTGTACAGCTGTGGCATAAGTATAGTGAAATTCATAAAGAAGATATTTAAAACTGTGATAAGAAAATACAAGTTTATTGCTAGCTGTTAACTGTCCCCTAGCTCCTAGGAAAATAGTAATTTACATCTAGATGGGGTTTTAAAACCAAATACTAAATAGCATTGTCTTTATTCATATACAAACACAAAGTATTACCAAGTAGCTACCAGATGACATTCTGACAATGATGTTAAATGAGCTTTGAAGAAAAATCTGAGATGACCAGGTGAATGTTCTGAGCAGAATGCAATTACCTTGGAAGCTGTCTGAAAATGACTAGAGAATTAGAAAATTTAGTTCTGACAGTAATTTCTGGAGTTTTGGGGTTTAATAAGACAGCAAATAGCTGATAGGATTGGAGCACAGCTTGCAGCCACAGGATGGGAGGTACTGATCTCACAGAAGTTCACACTGACAATGCAAATTCCCTGTAAATGATATGACAGGTCAGCACTGCAGTAGCTGACTTTTTATGCTAGATTAGAGCTCCCATTGCATGGAGAGCCAGGTATTGTCTGTCCCCTCAAAGCTGACACAAAGCTGGCAGAGACTCCAGATTGCATGTTCATTGGCAAGTCGGGCACACTGGTGGGGCTGGTCAGAGCCCAGATTTCACTGAGCACTGGAGACAAGACCCGGCTGCTGAAAGCCTGCAGGCCCATGGAGCACGTCTGCATGCTGGGGAAACAAGATACATACAGTATACAAGAAATTTTGGTGTCATGCAGGTTTCAAAAGTCCCTTCACTAAGTAAATTCTAATGTGAGTCTATAGCCCAAACCCGGCCGCATGAATAGGCATGAAGCAGATGTTTCTGGAGGGCCAGTTGAAGTGTGACTAGTTTAAGTTTAACTAGTTTAAGTTAAACACTAGTTTAACAGTGTATCTAGTTTAAGATAAAACCTGCACTTTTTCCAGATGCCTGTCTTTGCTCAGAGTTGTGCAAACCTCATTACAAGGTTTTTTTCCATGATAATTTATTTAAAATTGGTATGGAAGACTCTGAGTACTCTTACTGTAGTTTGAGTACATTGGGTAGTTAGGCAACATTGCAATCAAGTGAACTACGATGGTGTCATAATTAGGACATACATTTTCACACACTTTCTTTAGAAATCTAGAGCAGGAAGCCAAATCAAAGTGAACAATGGAAGCAAATGAAGCATGGATATGTACTGACTCAGGCAATCCCTGCTTTCTACTCTCCTTCTGAGCTGTCCTCACAGGGCAGTTCTACTTCAGCTCTTGACTTTAATTGGAGCCCAGCACAAAGCAAAAACCATCCCAAGGCTTGTAAACTTTTCTTTCAGCTAGAGATATTTGTCCATGTATCTTTCCATGGCAGCCAAACTAATTACCATGGCATGTCTTTCCAAGTGACAAAACTTGCTCGTCTGCCAAGATAAAACATTTGGAGGGCTGTCAAGTGATGTAACCTGGGTACACCTCTGTATTTCTGTATTTTCAGTGTTATTACACAGAGCTCTGTTAGTGATTTGAATTTAGGGCGTGTTGTGTGGTGATTTGCTGAAGCCAGACTGGTCTCTTCAGACTAATACAACCCCCCACAGGAGTCAGGACTGGTGTGACTGGCCTGGCATAGGTTTTGTAATGAAGACTGCTGCTCTGTTAGTGTGATTCTTAGGTGAAATCATTAGAAAAGCTGGCAAAACTAGTAGCACAAGAAGCTAGAAGGGAGCACAAAGCTGCTGGGACCAGATCTGTTAGAAGAACAGCAGCTCACTGCCATGACTTGAGCTGCTACTTCCCCTGTGCCCACAGTCCTTCATCTTGCCCAGGAGGACACAGAGCAGTCACACAAGACCCAGGCAGTCCCTGGCCATGCTGCTTGGCACATCAGTAGCAGCCTAATGACATTGACCTACGGAAATGGGACTGGCACCAAGTACCAGTTACAATTATCAACCATAGCCATCTCTTCTGCTTAGGAGCAGTTCAGATTTGGGTAACAAGAAGTCTCAGTGCATTGTGTTATTGGCACCTGTACTACCCAGTTCTTTAAAGGGACTGGTCCAGAGTCTTATCACAGTTGCCTATGTGCAAGCCTGATCCTACTCCAGAAATACAGTAGACTAAATGAAAATTTTTTAAAAAATGGCTAATTGCTTCCAAATCTTCATCAATCCTTTAAAATCAAGAGGTTTTTCTGCAGCTTTTCCTCTTTTAGTGGAAAAACTCCTCCAGATGGCCATCAATATAGCTCAAGGTCTTGAACTAGCAATGTGTAGGCTGTCAGTTTTCTCTTTTCCTTTTTGGAATGGTAACATAAGTTCAGTAAATTTTGCAGAATCTATGTATCTGTTTTTGTTTAGTTAGTAGTAACTCTTGTTAGTAATTACAAAGTGCCCAGGCTGGGCTTTTGAGGAACCAGTCTTAGTTTCAGCCCTTCACCTTCTTTTAGGACCGCCAACTTTTAGCACTGTCTTGGAATAAGTTCCATCAAGATATGGGACCACAGTTTTTAAGTTCTAAGGCTCCATTCTGTGGGGGGCTGGAAAGAAAAACACCGTGGTAATATCTCCCTTCAAAGCACAATATTCAGTCATTCTTATTCCATAGTCATATCTTGGCTACAGCTACAGTTTGAATTCAATTAAAAGCTTTTAATCGGTCATCCTTCTAAACATTTCCAAACTGTCATTCACTTTCAGATACACCTAGAGCTCTATTGTCCTAACATAATTTTAGTCTAAGACAGAAGTCAATTACACTAATTGTTCAGCAGGAATTAAACTCATGCATCATCAGATTATTACTGTTGCTACGCTGATTTTGCAAAGATATTTCCTTTATCTGTACACAAGAAAAGCTAAGCACCAGCACTTGTCATTCTCAGTACTGACTGGGAAATAACTACTTTATTGGAATGAGAACAGACATGTATATTGAATGTACTTCTAAAACAGACTGGAATATTGAAATAGGCTGCAAAAAGATAGGTCACCTTCAGCTATGGGATAATGACACCGATTCTCTGATTAAAAATGGCTTTGCCATAAACACAATTATTAACAAAGTAAATGGTTATCTGTGTGTTGACAGATAGTAAAGCAATATCTAAAGAACTTTTAATCAAAGTTGATGCTTTTGAGGTCATTCTGAGGATATGCCCTTATACCTCCATTTAAAACTCACTTGTGCATGTCCATTGAGAAAATTGAGTGATCTGGAGGATTTGAGAGGTGTATGTGTACGTGCAGGAGCCAGCTCAGGTGTATGTGAGAATGTGCTGAAAGACAAGCTCCCAAGGGAAATTCTAGGAGTTCTCGGAGTTCTAGGTCAGCTGGAAGAGAGATGAAATCTGACTGTGAGGACAAAGCAGAGAAGTTGGAAGGAAGAAGGATAGGCAATTTTTTGGTACTGGATAAAAGCACTCTTGATGATTTGAGCAAATGAATGTTTTCTTATGCTCAGAAAATCTTATGTGAGGAAAACTTCATTAGGGATGTGGAACTCATGGTCTGCTTTCCCTCTGAACTGAAATTCCAGCAAAGCCCTGGATTTTGACAGGTCATGTCAGAGAAGAATCCTGAGACAAAGTGAGGGAAGAGCTGGGGCCAGGCAGATCTGGCAGTGGTGCTAGAACTCACACTTTTTTCCCAGACAATTTGAAGGAGAGGCTGTACTCTCTCCCCCAGAAGCAACCACAAGAACTGAATTGGAATAATAATACAGCCACTTAGGAAATTGTCTCATCAATAAAACAGAAACATTCACTGGCAGGTTTACCTGCATGGCTTGTCAGCCATCCTGCCAAAGCATTTCCTGAAACTTCCCTGAAATGTCCTAGATGGAAATTATCTCCATATACAGAAGTTGTTTGTTTCCTTTAAATTGATGCAGTATTTCCCACAGCATTATGTTTGACTTATGATTGTATTCAGCACAGAAATTTCAGCACAGACACGAGGAGCTGTGCAATTAATTTTTCAGGAAGGGCAAATAGAGCCAGTGGGGCAAAAAGAGCAAGTTAGCATAAAACATAAAAGTGGGTTGATAGAACTCTGAACTATGTGCAGAGGTCTGGGTCTCGGTATACAATAGCCTGATGGAAAGTATGATGATACAGTGAAGAAAACAGAAGGCATCTAAAATAAACTGGGGCAGGGCACAAAAACAGTGATGTTACAGAAGCTACTACTACAAGTAATTTTGTGTATGCCAGGACCACCACACGTACAGTCCCGTGGCTATAGCTATACTAAAGCCTGCTGTCAAGTTTAATCAAATCAATTGTAGTTTTCCTCTTGCAGCATATCTCTAGAAAGACATGGCAATGAGATAGGGAATCAGAGGTAAAAATCTACGTAAAACGGAAAAGGATTTTTTTAGCCAGGAATGCAAAGCTACAGTCCTAACCTCAGTTGCTGATTAATCGTGTGCTTTTCCATGCCACATTTACACGTGTTTGCTGTACCCGCGTCCAGAGTGAAGTCACTGCATGTTTGAGGGTCCTTCCACCCGGGACAGCCCCGTTCCCGGTTAAACACCTCAGCGGAGAGGGCGGGAGCAGCGCTCCGGGCAGGGGTCACTCTCGGGGACCGGACTGCGGAGGCCGACCCCGGCCCACGTGGCTGTGCAGAATTCACAGAGGGCTCTTCACTGCTGCTACCTGCCCACTCCCACCGGACAGCAGCCCTTCCAGGCTCGCCGGGTCCCCGGCTGGGCGGCGAAAGGCCGGGTGGGCGCTGAGGCGGAGGCGGCCCCGGTGGGCGCAGCGCTGCTGCCGTCAGCCCCCGGGACGGGGTCCCCCTCGCTCGGGCCGCGTCACTTCGGGCTCGGGCTTCGGTGCGGCGTTTGGGCAGGGGAAAGGGGCGGGGGAAGGCGGCTCCGGACCGCCCGGCGGGCCCCGAGCAGCGGCGGGAGCCAATGGGTGTCGGCGCGGCCGTGTGACAGGCGGGGCGGCCGCTGCCCCCGCCGGGCGGGGAACCTGCACGGCGGCGCTTGGCAGCATCATCCGCGGCTGCGGGGCTGACACACGCCTCCATCCTCCTCTCTCCCGGCAGCCGCTCACACGCGCCTCGCCGCGGGCGGAGCGGAGCGAGGGGCGCCGCGGCAGACAAAGCAAAGATGGCAGGGATCCTCGCCTGGTTCTGGAACGAGCGGTTCTGGCTGCCGCACAACGTCACCTGGGCGGACCTGCAGAGCACGGAGGAAGCCGCCTTCCCGCAGGCGGAGGACCTCTACCTCGCCTTCCCCCTGGCCTTCTGCATCTTCATGATCCGGCTGCTCTTCGAAAGGTAACGCCGAGCCCCCCGCGCCGCCCCAGGCTTGGCTGGGCTGGGCGGGCCCAAGGGGAGCGGCGGAGCTTTGTCAGCCCGGCGCCTTCCTCGCCGCCGCTGCACTGCCGGCCTTACCGGGGCTCTTGCGTTATCCCTGCCCCCTCGGTCGGTCACGTAGCGGGCCCGATGCAGGAAGGTGGAGGGGTTCGAGAGGCAGCCGGCGCGCTGTTCCTGCCGCCTGCAGCGCGGCCCGGCGCGGGCGCTAGGAGGCGAGGTCTGCCCGGGAATGAGCGCAGCCCTCCCGCCACCTGCGCCGGCCGCGGCGGGCGGGGAGACGGGCCCTCGGGCACCCGTGCGGGTTGGGGCGCCTGCCCGCGACCCTCGGGCTGCGGCGGGGCCCTGCCCGCCCCCCTCACGGGAGCTCGGCCAGAAGAGTGGCGGCCGGCGGGAAGCGGTCCCGGCAGCAGAGTTTGCCCGCGCCCCCGCCGCAGGGCCGCTCTCCGCAGCGGAGCCCGCGCTGGGTCCTCCTGGGGCCGGCGGCTGTCCCGCTGTTCAGCGTGGGGCCCCGGGTGGGAAGAGGCAGTTCTCGGTGAGTGAGCAGAGCTGTGCGTGCCCAGTGCAGATGGTATCAGGGAGCTGTGCCGAGTGTCGGAGCACTCCTGGGGCTGTCGGAATGTGGAAGCTCAGTGGTGAAACGCGCCAGGCGCTGTTCATCTCTGAACCAAACTCACCGTTCTTCGAGGCTGTTGAGCTCATTAACCACGTTTCACAAATACCTGAATACGTATATATGTATAGTTAAACATGAGGTGTCAGGCTAGCGGTCGGTCGGCAGGGACGGCGTTTTCTGTGCGCGCTCCCATCCCAGCGGGGGCTGAGCAGGGGCCGCCCGGCGCGGGGGCAGCTGGTGCCAGGTGGGGGCTCGCCTGCGCTCGCTGCTGCGCCCCCTGACAAAGGTGCTGCTCCCTCAACAGCTGAGAGCAAAAGAGCGATTCTTTATGCCAACACCTACGTGTTTTCAGTGTTGTTTTCTCAGGCATGGTATTAGGGTAGTCAAGGAAGATAAAGGAGGACCGGTAGTTACTACATGCCAGAGAAGGGCAGTAAAGATACTTTAAAAATGATAAAAGAGCTTATCTGCCAGGTACTGCTTCAAATTTCCTAAGCATTCCCTCTCCCTGGTTAGCACTTGGTTCCTGGCTTGGTTGAGAGGACCATATTTGTTTTGAAAAATAAGCTGTCACGAGCTGTTGTTATCTTCTGTGTTGCTTTACAGATTTACTGAACAGCAAAAATTGTCATCTGCCTGAAAACCTGAGGTTGTAAAAAGTTAATTGAAGCAATTGAGTTAAATACTGCAATATGGTTACAAGTGGAGTAATGAGTACAATTACAAGTATTTAGATTATGTCAAATAATTAATCTTTTTTTGCAATCTGTATGATGTGTACTTCTGAGTGTTGAAAGCGGGTGCATGATATTGCATCTCGTCATCTGAACTGCAATAAGCATCACAGCAGGACTGTGTTTGATGGATGAACAGCTAGTCAGAGAGATAGTTTCAGCCTCAAGTTAAACTCACGTTTCTGCTAATCCTGATGTGGCTGATGTTTGCATTGTAGAAGCTGCTCTGATTATGTAGTAGTTTGTATCCACTTACTTGGGTTATTTTTCTTCATTCATTTAAAGTAATGTTTTAGTTTTGCAATGCATTATATTTTAAGTGTTAGTTATACATATAAATGAGAATACCAGTATTTTTTAAATTCTCTTGTATTCATCAGGCAGATTTTGAAATTTATGTCTAGAAGTGTGTTCTGCTAATCTGATTGTAGGTGAGAGACCTCCAAAGATGTTTTATTAACAATTACTTAGGTATGGGGTTTTTCCTTTTAAAATTAAAATCAGTTTCATAACTCCCTGTGAGAGTAGGATCAGGCTGTTTTGTGTGGGATTAATCCACATAGCATGGTACAACAGTGATTTTTCATGTAGAGCATTTTATTAAAGCAGGCTGAGCAAAAGCAACTGAACCTGTTTCCACTGTTTACTGCTTATATTGTAATCCAGCCTTGATGAGGAGCAGTCCTCAAAGGTGATGCTGATATTCTGCAGCTGATAGAATGGCTCATAAGGTCAGAGATTGCTTGATTATATATAGCAACAGCCCTCCAGCTGCACTGACTTGAGCTGAGCCAGCCACATCATTTACTACTACTCCAATCAAGATACTGACATTGAGCATATGGAAATTCATGGCTTTTATTTGAAACTGCTTTTGTAATGATAATTCAGTCTCAAAGGTTACCTCAGCTGATTTTCATTTAGTATGACACAGTAGAATACCTAGTGGATCTGGGTGACATGATACAATGACTGTATGGGCATGTATATATATATTTTTGCTACCTATAAAATTCATTCAGATGACAGTACATACAGTCTTATGAATGTTTCTGGTGTGTTGTGTATATGTACAAATTTTATTTTTGTACTCCCTAGGATGCCTAGTATCAGTGGTTTTTTACAACAAAAAAGAGGCTAGACAGGATACAAACTTTGGAAGTGACTGTTCTAACCTCCTGTACTTCCAGCAGCCCAGAATCTCATCTGGAGAGGTTGGGTGGGGCACCGATGGCTCTTTCTGTCAAAACCTTTTTCTAGGCTGTAATATTTATAGATTTTTTGCTTGCTTCTCTGTGTGTTAGGCAAAAACTGATAATTCAGGTGTAATTCATTTGTATGTAAGTGGATGCATGTGTTCTGACAATAACTTTCTCAGTTCTTTCTTTACCTTTTTTTAATATTTTTTTTTCATAAGATGACATGTAGGGCTTTTTCTTTTTGCTTGATTGCTATTTACTAAATGCTTAATATGGTTGAAATTGAATAGGATATTGAAATTGCTAACTTGTACGTAAAGACAGACCCTGGAAATAAAATAACTAAAAAACTATTTCTTTTCAACTTAAAACCAATTTCATTTTTAAAAGTAACAATAGATCCTTAGCAGTAAATAGCTTGAAAATGCATTTATAGCCTTGCTGATTGTACTATTAATTTCTCTGTGTTTCTTTAAGTTACTAATTTTCTGTCATTTATCTTTTTCTTTATATTACCAGTTTTTGTTTCCTAGGGTTGCAGGGTTGAGCTTTAGCCACTAACACAGGTTGCAGACTAACCCTTCCCAACAGAAGGATTGTTTTACCTGGAGAGGTGCTGTCTGTCTTGGCCTGTCTCTCAGCAGCTCAGACCAGTGCAGTGAGTGCTCAGGCACACTGGTGCTGCCAGTGCTGGCTGCTACACGTTTCTGCTGGGTAATGTGGCTGTGTTCACACAGAGGCTTGGAGTGTTCCTTTAAAAGGAGGTGGAGTGGATAAAATGCACACTATTTGAATGTCCTTCATATCAGGCCGTAAAGATGTGTGTTAGTGTTGGTCTTAAAATTAGGAGTTAAATGGGAAATGCATGCTGAGCTCCGGAAGAGAATGCCATTAGAAGTGATTCCTAAAATATCCATGTGAGAGAAGTGTGACAGCTAAACCAGAGCTCTGCCAATGAAAGGTTTCAGTGCCAGGTCACTAGTGGGTGCTGGGAGCCTGTTCGTGGGGTTTTGTCTGAGAGCAGGTTCCTGTTACTGGTAGCAACTCCAGTTTGCTTCCTGCCTGGATTCCTGCAACCATGCAATTGGATCCAAATTACCTGTCTTGTGTCTCTTTCTGCTGCCCTGCTTCTGCCTCTGTCACTGATTAATAGGTGTTTGCTAAGGATTTGTTTTTGGAAAAAGAATAGCTTCTGATATACTGCTCCTTTCTACGTATCTGCAGACCAGTGTCTTATTAGTCCATACAAAATATTTAGTAAATTAACACTTGTGATATTCTGTTCCCTAAAATCTATCTCTGTTCCTGTCAACAGGGCTGATGCCTGAGCTGAACAGTGTTTATTTGACTATATTTTGGGGGGGAGGTCTGTTCTTTTTTCTCAAGGTGGTAAATATCCCATGCCTGCCCTAGGCTGACAGTTTATTAGCATGTGGTGTTTCTGTGCCTGTCTAGAGATGGTCTTGGAGTTTGGAGAAGAAAGTTAAAATTACAGCATAAAACTATATAGCTTTTTTAAGTGATGTAATCTTATAAAATATCGAGCTGTATGCTTAAGACTGTGTTGACACCTGATGGACAATCAAATGTATGTGATGTGTATCAACAGTTCCTTGGAGCTGCTGATTTAACACCTGGATTGCTTTGTGTCTCCCCCCAGAGTGACTTCCTTCACTCACTGGGCACTTGCAGATTTTGGGGGGCAGCCAAGGGAAAGGAAGGGTCTCTGGTCATGAAACATGTGAATCTCTGATTATTTGGAACAGGAGGAATCACTAATGTCTTGCTTTAAAGCGAGCAAAGTTTCTGACAATCAGATGGGCTGAGAACTTCTGTCCCCTGGGAGGAAATGTTTTTAGCACATAGTCCTTGCAGAAGACCAACTCTGCACCATATGGTGTCCATCAGTTTATGATGATGCCTTTCTGGTTGTTCTCAAGTAGTCAAACTGCAGCCAGGGTGAGAGAACTGGAGTATTTAGCACAGTCAGCTGAAATCCTAGAGATGGTTTTCAGGTGGAACTGTAACACAAACTTGTGACTTCTGCACATAAAACAGAGAGTAAACTGTATTTTTTTCCCCTATGTAGTTAATACCTCTCTTAATAGCAAATTCTGCTGTTATGAAGCTTTAATGTTTCTGAGCAATTGTAAAGCCTCATGTAACTATTACTGATGTAGCACAATCAAATTTTAACTCTCGCGTAATTGTACAATTAGTAAGAAAATTTAAGAATTGTAAAGGAGTGTAACATCCCATTAACCATGTCATGTGTATTGGCTATTAATCCAAGTTATGTTTTGCACAGGGAGGAGTGAAGTGCTAAGGGTCTCCAGACTACCTTGTATTAATGAAATAACTTTCAGGTTCACTAACCTAAAACTCATTTTAATATTATAAATGATGCACATTAAA